ATATTTTTAATTTTGGAGATATTGCCAAAATGGAAGAAATCAGTCCTACATATTTGTTCATTATGTCCATTGAAGGACATGGCCTAATTAATAAAGACTCAAAGATTCCTCACAGTGTTACTGGAGATCACGGTACATGCCATCCAGAGTAAGGATCTGGTTAGACATCACATTTCTAAGATTTTTAGGGCTGAACACAAAAACCTGAGTTTTATCTGAATTCAGAAGCGAGAAAGGTCATTAGAGGCAGATCGTTACGTGTATTATCTGGTTTCATGGAGACCTGGGTATCATCTGCAGAGCAGCGAAAATGTATGCTATGCCTTCTGTGTAAACAGACTGTACAGAACTGGTTCTAGTGTGGAACCCTGTGGAACTCCATAATTAACCTTAATGTTTGAAGAAGACTCCATTAACATGAACAAATTTGAATCTGTTAGATAGATATGACTCATACTACTGCACAGCACATTACCTTTAATACCTACAGGATTTTGTAATTACTGTAATAAAACATTATGGTGAAGAGTATTTAATGTTGCATTTAATGTTAAAGGTCTAGCACAGGGGTAGGGAACTCCAGGCCTCAAGGGCCTGTCCTGCAGGTTTTAGATGAATAAAGATTAATTCATTACAAGGCCTCTGGAGAATTCAAGACATGTTGAGGAGGTGTTTTGGCCATTTAAATCAGCTGTGTTGGCTCATGGACACATCTAAAACCTTCAGTACACTGGAGTTCCCCACTCTAGCAGGACAAGCAGATGTATGAGTCCACTGTCAGAGGCCATAAGAATATGATTTGTAACCCTCACTAAAGCTGTTTTTGTACTGTAATGAGCTCCGAAACCTGAATGAAACTCCTCAAATAAACCATTCTCTGCAGATGATCTGTTCCACTACTTTGTAAGATTTTTTTATTTTTAGATAAAAGGAAGGTTGGAAATTGGGTTATATTTTAGAGGATCCATCACATCCTTGTTCTGACTGATTCAACTTGCTCACCTCTGGCATCAGCTACAGCGACTTGTAGATCAAGGGGGACCAAAAAGAAACTGTTTCTTCTCAAACACCAGTACAACGGTAAACTTTGCACTGACTCCCCTCTCTACCACCACTACCACATCCTCTTTTATTAAGAGTATTCTTCTTGGTGCATTAAGTTCTCTCCTGTACAGTACCACAATGAGTGGTATCTTAAATTTTTAGAATACTCTGTATATTATATTTATCTATACTCTGTGTAATATTGTATTGATATTTGTTAAGTCACTATGAAATTAAAAAATACTTATCTCTACAACTCTCAAATGTACAACTATATAACTCTGTACCATAACCACATTACCTCATGATCATGACCTCAGTTATTGTCATTCTGATGGTAAGCATAATTACTCAAAAGGACTTCTTACAAGCATGTTTTGTATTGTCAAAATAAATAATTTACCATATAAAGATTTAAAATATGTTAGATTTAAACTCTTACCTCTCCTCCAAAGTCAGACTGATTTGAAGGTCAGCGTGATGATAATAATGCTGTATAAAGTTATTTAAAACAGTTTTTCTTAATGCCATTGTTTGTATTGCCAACATAAATAGGCATATAACTAATGATATATGGGAATTCTAAATATCAAGTTATAGCTTGCATACAAATATCATGTCACATTTTACCTCCGACCTCACTTTTACATTTTCAATCTGTCTTCATATCATGCTGAAATTAAAAAGTGTTTTACTTTAAAAGTTTGTTTTTTTATGACTTTTATAAAGGGGAATTAGTATGTGTGTTGACCTATATACCCCATTTGTGTTGGCCTACATGCGCAGGTTTTATCTATATTAGTAGTATAACATATTATCATATGTTATACTACTTATGCTTGAACACCTGTTGATGCACAGCTGTTATTTTTCAACCTAATAATGGGTCACTTTTGGGTCACTGTGACAGTTTTGTGTTCCATTTTGACAGCAGCTTGCTGTATAATGACAATGAAAGGCCTCTAATTCAAAAGCTTTATACAGTTTTATTTCATTTAAACAGCAATTGGTACAGTAATAAGCAACAAATCTATGTAATATTGAAATCTCAATAAATTTCAGTGCAGGTGTGGACTACCTGATAGCTGTCTCAATGCCGTATCAGTGTTAAAAAGATGGAGACCACAGACTTACAGATTCTGAACTCAAAATAAATATGTGACGCCCAGCAGTGGGTGTCTCTGACATTACACTGATGACTCAGTGTTAGTAAAACCCTTGTTTGAAACTAGAGATGGACCGATCCGATATTACGTATCGGTCCGATACTGACCTAAATTACTGGATCGGATATCGGAGAAAAATAAAAAATGTAATCCGATCCATTAAATATCACGAAAGCACCTCACAAAACTTGCAACACGCCGTAACTCGCCTCAGAACGTTAGCACGTCGGAGCAGTATGCATCACGTGATAGAGCGGCTGTGGCATGCGGGACCTGTCGGTGGTCTGGATAGCATTTGGAGCTTCGCTAGCAACCCGGCATTTCATCTCCGACAAAGTTATCCCCGAGAGAAGTAAAGCAAGTGTGTAAGTCCATCTCTGAATGTTTGTAAAGCATTCCTGCGTTAAGCTTAACAAGCGACTGCCTCTTCTTGCTGCTACTTCAATCATGAAACTGCTTAATGATCAGCTGATCGGCTCTTGTGGACATTGATCCTGCTCAGCACCGCTCCTACATCGGTGGGGGAGAGAGTCAGAGGTTGGTGGTCTGGCGTCAC